ACATTTTATGGATTCTCTCGTGGAGCTAGATTACCCCTTGGTTGAGTTCCCAACTTGGGGATTAGGGTATCCAGCCGCCGATTTATCTCAACCCGCTGACCTTTGGTAGCATCCAGTTGGGCTTGAAACAAAGCTCTCATCTGTGCCATCTGTGCGGCAAGCAGCTTCATGGCTTCTGCAAGATCCTGAATCTGCTCTCCCATGGCTAGTTCTTCGATTGCGGTTTCTTCTTCGGAGAGCGATTCTTCCTCTTCTCTGCATTCTGCAACCGGATATTTGGACCTCGTTCGACAAGCAACAAGTCCTCTTGCTTTCGATCCCGCCACTATGTTGAACGGGGCTCTTATACCACCTGATACGATCACGGAACATATACCCGTAGTTATCAAAGTGCGTAGCTCCAAGAACGAACAATAGAAAGAATTTTTAGGGGTTTTTGTTTGTTTGGGATATGGTGGAATTGAAAATGCAATCTCAACACAAGATGGGAGAAGGCTCAATCAATATAAAAGATAGAATCGCGACCACAATAAAGGGGAAAACTTCATCGATAAAGAGAAAAGTTCAAGCCTCAAGCTCAAAACCAAGATAAAATCAATATTATGCTAAAAACTAACCCTGGAACGCGAGTTCTGGCCTTTATATAGGTTTGGGCAATTAAAAATAACAAAAACAAGTTAAAACACAAAATTTCGTCGGTCAGACCCGAAACCCGGCCAAAATACCCGATCGGATATTTTGGACCACTGACCGAGCTTTTCCCATGCCTACTTTCCCCAGTCCCTTCCCCGTTCCCCGTTGGGGGTAATTCCTCCACGACATACCCGGTTGCTGCTCTTCCCGCCAGCCTGGTCTCCTCCATCTCTGGAACTTGGAGCCAGAACAGTGGGAGTTGGTGGGCTCGCATCAACTGCAAAATACTTCTAGAAGAGAATCATCCCGCCGACACAACAATCGCAGTTCATTGCACAAACAAAAGTAGTTTGGCTCTTTAAAAATCTTTCCAACAACAACCCAGGACCTCGACAAAGTCCACTGGCAGCTTTCTTTGCAATCTCAACATGGATACTTTGGATGTAAAGGAATGAATTCTCCTTCCATGGTCATAGTAAGGTTCTCACTCTGCCATCCCTAACCAATGCTATTCTATGTACAACAGACTTATGGACAACAACTTGGAATTCCCCTATGCCAAAGCTTAACAATATGCAAGGGCCAGCAGAAAGAATTTTAGCCCAAATCATATGGAAACCCCCTGATAACACTGCAGTTGTACATATTTTTCCGCTATTTCTTGACTGTATGGCAGAGTATTTGCTTGGCTCTTGGCCTATTTTAGGCTAGGGTGTACTTGTTTGTGACATTTCAGGTCCTAGTATGTGAATGAACGTTTGGGAATGATTTTGGGGATGATTGGAGAAAGTTAGAGCATTCGACGAGGAGCAGAGGAGCTTCACAAGGGCTGAAACACACCTCGCACGGCTGTGCGAGGTGAGGGGGTGCGGCACAGGAGGATTGCACGGGCTATGCACGGGCTACTTCTGCCCGTGCGTCTTTGACAGAGATGTTGCACGGGCAAAAGACCACTTGGCACGGTTATGTGGTGCCCGTGCACTAGCCCTAGAGCCACTTACTTGAACACGGAGTTTCGAGGTTGCACGGGCAAATTGGAGGAGGTGCACGGCCGTGCGCGACCGTGCATCGGGCAGCTGGGGCTTCAAACCCCAATTTTGGGTGTTTTAAGAGGGGATTCGAGTTCTAAGTGAAAAAACATAATTCTAGAGAGATAAAATGACGAGAAAGAAGACTTAGGAGCTATTTGGAGTGAATTTCTCACCATTGAAACATAGATTGCGTCACAAGGAGCGAAGATTGACATCCTAGAGCAGATTATACACATTATTATGAGTATGACTATTTTGATTTTTGTTTTCCTCTCTCTCTCTCTATGGAGTAAACCTGCTTCTCACTTGGGTATGTAGAACCCTAGTTTCATGTGTTAGGGATCTTGCTTGTAATGACTTTTGGATGTTATACTCGATGATTTTCATCGATTGAGGAATGTTTATTAAGCCATTTGAATCCTGGTCAAATTCTTTTAACTTATGCTTTAACCTACGATAGATAGAATATGTTTAGGTTGATATAGCTTATTCAATTAATAGGAGTGAATATGATTGTACGATAGTCAGTCAATTCACTACTTTGTAATGGAGTCTGTTCCACGTAGAGGAGATTTGTGTGAATCGCCTTAACAGTCATCCCGATGAAGGCTAGACGCTTGTCGGGTTTTCTGTCTAAGAGGGCTTGGTCAACTTAACAGATTCCAATCTATTTTCGGATCTTGCGCAGTCTAATCAACAGTAAAGAAAACTAAAGGAATTACAACTTGGACCTAATTGAGGAGCTAGGGGGACTCATTCCCGAATGACTCTTCTCTTGCTTTATAAAACTGAACAACTTGTTGTTTTCTTTTTGCTTTAGTTTAAACTCATTCTCACTCAACCCTTTCCTCTAGATAATAGAATTTCACGGAGTAAACAGTAAATCTAGGCCCTGGGTTGATAAGTAAAACTGAACCTACTATACTGCATCTCCATACTCCGATTATACTTGGTCGTAGTTTGGTGCTTTGTTTTAGTGAGTCAAGTTTTTGGCGTCGTTGCCGGGGACGGCTAGGTAATTTCAAAAACGTTAAGATATGTTACTTTATCATTTAATTTTTCTGCATTCTCTCTTCTTGACATGTTTGCCTTCACGGGTTTTGTTTGCAGTCTGTGTGCAGGTAGTGCATGACCCGTAGTTAGTCGGGAGAACTACTACCTCTGGACCCCGAAATTGAACGGACTTGTCGCCAGCTCAAAGCGCTCAACTCGAGAGTGGCTACGTAGGAGGCTTGGACATGGTCATTGTCGCAGATGAATCCGATAGCAAGGAAGAAGAAGAGATGAGGGATCATGCAAATCAGTTGGGGGATCCAAATGGGACTCAAGTTCAACCCGAGGAGCGGACTATGGGGTACTACTAGACTTCCATGGCCGAAGATCTAAGGTCAAGCATCCAAAATCCTCAAGTTGTTGCCAACAACTTTGAGGTGAAGACCTCTATTATCACGATGTTGAAGGATTCAGTAATTTTCCACATAAGGATAGGCGAGTCCCCACTCGAGCACCTGCGGGGGTTCCAGGAGCTGGTTGATGGGATCAAGATCAATGGGTCCCTTAAGCAGCCATCCAACTATGCTGTTTACAATTCACTCTGGAAAGACAGGCCAAGACATGCCTAGACAACTAGCATTCGAGATCGATCACCACATGGACACACATGGCCAATAAATTCCTGACTCACTACCATCCCCCCATCTAAAATAGCGGATCTGCAGATGAAGATCACCCATTTTGTGCAAGAGGAGGATGAGACTATCTGGGATGCTTGGGAGAGATATTTAGGTCTCTTCCTTAAGTACCCCAACCATGGGTTCAATGATGCCTTCAAGGTAGGCACCTTCTGTCGGGCTCTCTTTCGCTCAAACAAGTAGCTGATTGACTCGGTCTGTGGCAGGAACATGCTAACCAAGACGCCACCGCAGTTGAACCAGCTCTTTGAAGAAATGGCATTGCATGGTTATAATTGGGGGTATGCAAGGAGATCTTGGCAAGCACCAGCCCGTGGTGTGCATGCCATGGATACCTAGTCGTCCGACTTGATGAATGTGGTGACTAAGCTGGTTACGAATATGGACCATAATGGGATGGTTCCAGGCACAATCCATCCTCAGGAGATGTACAACCAGTGGTGCGAGAGGAATGATCATATCCACCCTCACTCAAAGGATGCGATTGAACTAATAAACGAGAGGAATTATCCTATCCATCCTCACTCCACCCTATTGGACTCAATTAGATGAAAACTAGCTCAAGGGTGGTTGGTTCGTATCACTCATATGAACCATGAAGGGAATATAGCCACGAACGAAGCACAGTCTCGTCTATCCCTTTGGGTTGTATGAGTTTGCGAACCCTCCTCCTGAAGCTGCAGCAAATAATATTGAATGGCATGTGCGACAATTGTTTCGAAAGATACATTGTAGCTAAGAACCACTATGATGGTGCTGGCATCTCCCTACCTCCCATGCAATCTTCTCATGGTCTCGGCTCCATTTTATCAAAAAAAAGTTATTCATAATCGTCCTAACTTATTATGTAGTTTATGTAGATAAATTGTACGTTTGGTTAATAGGTTTACTAAAAAAATATCATGTATAGTAACTAAAAATATTTAATTTTAATGTTGTTCACTTTTCATTAGTCTCCTTCCAACTCCATTAATAAAGTTTGTTATGTGCTGACGTGGAAAACGAAAGCGCCTAGTTAGCATAATTTAACCTAAAAATGACAAGACCTGACCCGCCACATCACACAACCAGCGATATCATCTTGCCCAGGCCAACCATTAAACCAAACCCAACCTTTGAACCCAACTCCTTTTCCCTTCTCCAATCTCTAACCCTCTTTTCCCATGAATTTTTCACATTCTTTCTTCTAACCCTTCTTCCTAGATCTACCCCACCGCTTTCTCTCCCCACTCCTTCCTCCGTAGTTTTCATACTCACCATATTTTTGGTCTCTTTTTCCGAATGAGGCCAGATTTGTGGGAACCCATCATAGGATGCGAATAAGAGAGCGAAGCATGAAATCATAGCTGATCCATCCCTAATATCAACAACGACTTTCAGTTTGTCAAGGAAAAACCTGCAGACATGGGTCTTTCTCCCCTGCAGCATAGTGGAATGCGGTCCGTTGATTATCGTCTCGAACTTAGTCGGCTGGCTTTTCAAGCGCATGAGCTAACCTGTAATGGACTGAAATTATCTACCTGATAGCTAGCTTGGACGGAAGGGAAAAATATATATACACAAAGAGAGAATGCAGAGGCATATTACTCCCGATGATCGGAAGGTCTCCTGAGATAGTGTGTTAAGAAACTCGGTTGTCCCTCGATCATTTGATCAAGAAAACAACAAGTGGAAAAAGCCCAAAGTGAAAACTCAACCACAGTTGGTAGAGTTGCGATTCATCGAAGACATGGTGGTGCTCGGGAATCAGATCCCCATCTTCGTCCTCGAATGGCTTTTCAATTACATGGTCCATCGAAGCTCTAGCGACTTGCTCTCTGTTCCACTCCCTGACATCGTTATGCGATTCTTCAAATCTGCAATCAGTGGGTCCTTGTTGATGAACCCGATGTAGTCCACGAAACCAGAGACGAATTTCCCTGGGAGGGTAACGATTAGAATGGCGAGCAAGTTGAGCACGAAGCACTTGCTCCACCTGATGCACAACAGCTACTCGCATTCTTCGTGTTCTTCCCAGCCAAAAGAAGAGGCAAGATTCCAGATCGGGGCAGTGGCGGCACTGGCTCTTTCAGTGCTAGCCCGTCACTAGAGGAGTTATCCCCGGTGGGGATTCTAGTCCACAGAAGGAGTGGGAGAGAGGAAGCTGTGTGTTTCACCAAACAAAGGAGTGGGGGAGAGGAAGCGGTGAGGAAGATCGGGGAAGAAGGGTTAGAAGAAAGAATGGAAAAAGGTTAGGGAATAAGAGGGTTAGAGCTTGGAGAAGGGAAGAGGGGGTTGGGTTTAAGGGATGGATTGCGCTGAGCAAGATGTCATGGCGGGTCGGGTTTCACCATTTTCTGGTTAAATTATTCTGACTATGTGATTTTGTTATCCACTTCAGCACATAACAGACGTCAGTAACCAAATGTGGAACGTTTTACTAATTTGAGTGATCAATATTGAAATTAAATATTTTTAGTGACTAAATATGACACGGTTTAGTAGATCTAGTGATCAAACATACAATTTACCCTAATTTATGTACTTGGCCAATTTTAATTTTAGTTTAAAGCCTGAATAAGCAAATTCCTTTTATCATACCTCCTGACCCAAACCCTTGTCGTCCACCCTGTTTTCACCATTGCTTTACCCATTCTCCTCGAACCTCTTCCCATCCCATCCCAACTGTCAGCTTCCTCTGTCCTAGAATAAAGATTGAGATACTGATGCAAGTTCTCCCCTTCTGAATTTTGGGAACTCGAATATCAAATTTAAGAATAGTTGCCCCGGTCTGAAAAACAAGCATGGAAACAACAGTAAATCAATTAGAAAGATAATTTGAATAAGTACTTATTCCAAGGGTCCATTCGAAAATGACAAATTAGATTCAAAAATTGCAAAACATCATTACAAATTTGATTCCTTTTTTTCAATTGAATAAGTACGAAAAAAATCTATGGATAAATAAAATCAAATTAACTAAGTAGATACGAGGGCTACTCAAACCGTATTTTCGCGAAGTTTTTAATCGATTATTACTCAAAATTCAAAGCATCAACTCAGATTAAACAAAAAGTACTAAAATAAAATTGAAAGAACCCATTTTCTAGGAATTCTAGAGACTAATATTCGGCACCCATGATTACTCGTAACAATAGGAATTTAGGGGTTGAGAGAAATAATTAGGGATTTAGATGAGAAAAAACATAATAGAATCAAGAATCGGCCGAGGCCTTGTATTAGGAGAGAATAGAAATTAGGAGTTGGGAGAGATTAGATTTAGGAGAGATACTTTGCTTAATACTTTTCTTGATTGATTATGAATGAAACCCCAAGTACATATTTATAGAAAATGAAATCAAAGGGACCGAGTTTTAGGGATTAAAAGTTTGGGAAAAGTAATGAAGGAGAAGAAGGAAGAAGCTCGAAATGAAGGAGAAGTCCTTCGGTATTTTCGTTCTAATTCTCCCCTTCAGTTTGGGCCCAGAACTTCACAAAGCCCACCCGAATTCTATGAACTGAAAAACTGACGTTGAGATAGGGCTTGAGGATTGGTGAGCCCAGCCAAGCAGGCCAGTATGAAGAACACTTAGGTCTGTTTTCTTCCTTGGATCAAAATCCTTGGAAAACAGAATATTGGTGTGAAGGATGAAGCAAGAAAAGAAAAGTACGGAAATCTAACGACACACGATATTTTTAACGTGGTTCACCCTGGTGCAACGGGCTACGTCCACACCTACGACTTTTTTTATTTTCTTGACGATCTAACTCACACGTACAAAAGGAGCAAATTGAAATGAAAACTCAAAGGAAAAAATTCAAGAAGTAAAGTAGAATGACGAATAGACAACCCAAGTTCCAAACTCCGGAATTTGTATCAGCCACTAGCAAAGAACCTCTTCCCCTTTGCTAAACCCTCTTGTTTAGAAGCCCTTTGTCGCTCTGTCACAAAAGTGCCTTGAGGCAAGAAGATCCAATCCCTTTTTATAGACAAGGAGGTGAGTGAATGAAGATTTGTGTGAGTTGGAAACACCTCATCCTTCCTTTTTTGCAATGCTTGATTAAAGGAGTGATTCTTGAGCTGTGATTATGCAATCCATCAGTTGATTGATTTTTTACTTGATTCCCAAGTTTCTAGTGATGTTGATTTACTCCCGACGAGCTATTTTGTCGACGGTCTCTGATTTCCCAAATCTTTATACGATCTCCCCATAAGTCAGAGATTTTTGATTTCCTGAAACAAAGAAGACGATACTACCTTTCCTCTTTTCAATGAATTAGTTTTTGACAAATAAGGTAGTTATTTCAACAACCACATCTCTTTAAAAATCACAATTAATCCACATAAAGGAAAATAGAGTCTATCATAGAAAATGAAGCCGACACAGTTTTAACTAAAGCAGTCATAGTCTACCACAAAATTTAAAGCCGACAAGGTTCAACCGAAACAACCACAAGACTAGATAAAAAATTTCTGACAAGATGGAATTAAAGCAACCGAATAACAAGTTAAACATCATCACTAGAGTTGTTATTGGTGTCACTGCTCTCGCTGGAACTAACACTAGTGTTGTTGTTGACTTCTTCCTTGATAATGACAGTATCCTCGTCTTCACTGTTGTCTTCAAGAGGTTCCTCCCCTTCAATCGCAATCTCCAGAGCCTCAAGAATATCCCCAGCCACGGGAGAGAACACGGGATTGAAAATGACAAAGGAGGACAGGTTTATCTCAAGATGAACAAGAAGGGCCGATACGAGGGGACCGAAAGGCAGGGCTTCAACAAGGACAGGTTCAATGAATCGCAGTTGAGACCCAAAAAATAGGTGAAAGTAATTCAGAGGGATACCACGGACATCATTCGAGATGATCCAAAGATCGATAGGTAGGATAGTGGTAACAGAGTGATCTCTAGGAAGGAAGACTCGAACAATGTAATAGTGGAGGAGGCAAAGGGGTGGGGGAAGGGCAGTAACAGGTAAAGTATTATTAGGTTTGGGTGGTTGGCCAGTAATAGTAAGAAATTCTTCTGCAAGGTTGAAGGCAAACAGGGGAAATTCAGACTCATCAGCTAAAGTAACACCATGAGCAGGAATATTTAAAAGCATGCTGAGATCATCAATATGAATGGCAAAGGCATGGCCAAAAACCAGAGAGTGAAAGGAACGAGATGACAGCCCAGGGGATTGAAGATTGGAATAGAACAGTTGAATAATTTCAGGGCAGAACGAGGTCGTTAAAGGGGCATCAAGGAAAAAGGTCCAGCCTAGGTTCTGAACATAGGGAGTAATATCAAGGCCGGCTTCCACTAATGCAGTGAAAGGCATAAGACAGGAGGAATTCAAGGGACGATTGATGAAGAACTGGATGTGACGATGATAATTGGAGATGATAGGCTCAAGGAACAATGTACCTGTATATGTGATGATGAGCACCATTGTAAAACTGGACAGAGAGGGAGAAGATGGAGAGTACGAAGAAGAGACCTAGTGTTGGTTATTAAATAAACACTGCATGCACAATCAAGGGAACTACTATACAAGAAAAAAACTAACACAAAAAAGGAAGGCAATTAATGAAGAACAAAACAGGAAAAAAAAAACTAAAAAGGAAGAAGAGCTTAATGAATGGTGCTCTCGGAGAGAGCTAGATGGGAGCGAAGTCCGAGTTCATAGCACAAGAAAATGAATCAATCAACGGGGAGAGATTTTGTGAAAATATCAGCAAGCTAGAATTCAGTAGGAATATGATGTAGAGCAACAATTTGAGCCTGGACTAGATCCCGGATGAAATGATACTTAACTTCTATATGTTTCGTTCTAGAATGTTGCACGGGATTTTTAGTGGTACAAATGGCACTAGTGTTATCACAAAACAGAGGCATGGTTAATGTTTTTATACCATAGTCAGCAATTTGGTTTTTTAACCAAAGAAGTTGAGTGCATGAGCTACCAGCTGCTATATATTCTGCCTCAGCTGTGGATAAAGCCACTGCACTTTGCTTCTTACTAGACCATGAAACCAGAGAAGTTCATACGAACTGACAACTACCAGTTGTGCTACGACGATCAGTAAGGCTGCCGGCAAAATCAGAATCACTATATCCTAAAAGATCAAAGCGATTGTGCCTGGGATACCATAAACCTACATCAGATGTGCCTTTAATATACCTAAAAATGCGCTTTAAGGAAGCTAAATGACTTTCTTTGGGTGCTGGTTGGAACCGAGCACATAGACAAACAGAAAAGAGGATGTCGGGTCGACTGGCAGTAAGGTAGAGTAGGGAATCTATCATGCCCCTATACTGAGACTCGTTTATCGGGTTTCCTGTCTCATCTTGACATAGCTTAGTAGTAGTAGCCATCGGTGTAGGGCTAGGATTTAAGGAGTTGTAGCCAAATTTACTAAGCATGGAGGAGATGTACTTAGATTGATTAATCAAAATACCTTCACTAGTTGGTTTTATTTGTAGACCTAGGAAGAATTGTAGCTCACCCATCATGCTCAATTCAAAAACACTTTTATAGAAGCATAGAAACTAGAGCATAGTTGATCATTGGTTGATCCAAAAACAATGTCATCGACATATACTTGAACCAAAAGAAGATCACCAGAAACATGTTTAATAAGCAAAGTTTTGTCTACGGATCCTTGATCAAAGCCTTGACTTAGTAAGAATGACGTGAGACGTTCATACCAAGCATGAGGAGCTTCCTTAAGGCCGTAGAGAGCTTCCTTAAGGCCGTAGAGGGCTTTATTTAGTTTAAAAACAATGACTACTCAGTTAATTCTTGTTATCTAGCAATGAAACTTTAATGCAAGTCTAAACTAACAAACAAAGCAACTAAAAGGTTGTATTCGGGTTAAGAGAGGTCACCCAGATATGGTTCCCCCTAGACTGTAGTTAAGCCGGATTGCAATTACCAAGTTCAGTTTCTATGATAGTTATACTGCGGAAGGTTCTTAAACAGCCTGAAGTCTCGACTAAAGTTCTTCAGACCCTCTCAATCTGAGTCTCTAGC